GAATGATGTGTGCTCCCGGCGCTTATTTATACTATAGTCGCACCGGTAGTGACGTCATGGCTGTCGCCGGCCAACGAGTTGGTGTTTTTTCAATGTATGCTTCAGACACGGGTCACGACGAGGCGTTCCCCATAGCGACCCCTACAGGACGCAGTGTCTCGTTCCCTACTCAGGGAACCATGGTTACATAAGTAACCTGAGACGTTTTCTGTGCCATTTGCTATTTTATTTATTATTTTTTATATCATCATATATTTTATATATAATTTTGTTTTACGATTGCAAATTGCTTACTGGTAACAGATTACAGGTAACAGTAAATGCAAACAAATGCATTATGTTGTATGAATTTTAATCATGAACAAAAAGTCTGTAAAAGTGTTGTGTAACTTACATCTTTGGGCTTAACTGTAATTAGCAAGTAACCAACAATTTCCCGTTTACCTCCCTTTGTAGGCTATGACTGAGCACATTACAGTGAGGATCACCATCCATCTTAATATTTTTTTTTTTAGGCAGCTCAGGTTATTAAAGGGTTATGAGGCTGTTGTATAGGAAATGTCTTTGCTTGTGTGTGTGTTGTTTACACGTAAATTTAAGTTGACTAATTTTTCGTTTTTTTTTACAGGCACACGCTTGTGAGTCTGAGACTGGATGAAGGGTGAGTTTTGCATTTCTGTACCAAATAAAGAGTATAAACTATATCTTAAGATAGTCAAAATTTTAACCACTTTAAAGTCCCCTAGTAAGCCTAGTAAGACCATAGTTAACAGATTCAGATGTATTTAATTAAGGATGGAGCTAAACTCTACAGGACAGTGATCCTCAGAGCAGGATTCGACACCCCTGCTTTAAACCATCACTTTTTTTTTGTTATTCAAAATATTGAATGTGTTTCTTAAATAATTTGTGTATATTGAAGTCTGTCAGTGTGTAGTGTATATAGAATAACCAACTGTTAGTCATTTTTACTCTGTTATTTTCTGATTTTTATGGTGAGCTCATGGTGAGACACTTCATACACACAAGAAGGGCGTGCAAGCTGGCCTCCTAATACGAAGACTACGATGGTTTTTTGCTACTTTTGTGCCCTTGTTGTATACATATACTGGCATTCACACATTAGCATGCACAGGTAGGTTGTGTACTGTTCTTAATATTAAAACCCTGTTTATAAGCACTGCAAGAAAAAAATAAATTTAAAATGTTTCAAACAAATGTTGTAGTATATTTTTTTTATCTGGATTTAAAATAAAGTTTACATTATAACTAGAAAATGTATGTTAAAAATTTTGAACTTAAGTTGAAACAGCAAATATTGTAAAGTCAAATGAACTTCAATAAAACAATTCAGCACTAGGCAAGATTTAAATTAGTGAGTTGAAATGACTTGTACTTTTAAGTTGATTTAACTTAACATTTTAAGGCAGCCACAAAACTTACGTTTTTAAGTTGAAAGGGGTGAACATTTTTTACAGTGTACAAATCAAGTTGAGAAAAGTAAAAAATCTGCTGAAGCTGGTTGCCTCAAACTTTTAAGTTTTCTCAACTTTTGATTTTTTTTTTTACAGTGTACTTATTTCAGTTTTTCCTTTTTAGTAAATTTGCAAAGTTGTCACATATCTATGGATTGTAGCTTGATAAAAAAGAAAGTAATTTAAAACAGTTAACATAAGGTCAGTTTATAACATAAAATGTTGTACAGCTTTTGGTAACAGCTTTTGGACCTTTTATCCGGTGAGTGAACAAGCCTAATGTGGTTAAGACCCAAAAGTGCAATGTGAAAAAACACCTGCTGAAGGTTGGGAGTGGAACTGAAGACGGTTCACCAGACTGTTGCACAATGCTGCACTTTGCCCCACTGAATGAGAGGATGTTGACCTTGTGCACAGAGAATATGAAAAAGCCTCTGTTGTATTTAGTTTTGCCCTGTTGCAGTTCCACTTTAGTAAGGGGCTCATCTCTCTGGCCCATTTGCATCGCTGCAACCGCGTACTCCACAAATAAGAAGATGCATATAGAGAGAGAGAGAGTGTGTGTGTGTTTGTGTGTGTGCGCATGTCGGGTTAATGTAGAGGAAAAAGACCTGCTCAGAAATGAGTGGAGAACAAAGGAGAAGCATTAACAAAATTCATCATCTGTCCGAGTGTGGTGATTGAGTTAATTACCTCATTACTCAAACAAACCAGCCACACCATCTGCAAACAGAGGGTGATATTTATACTGTCTCATGCAGCGTCTGCAAGGGTGGGGAATGGGGATATGAAATTATAACTCTGCTTATGTCCTTTCTCTCCAAAAACTTTTAGAAACTCAAAAACTTCTGTCAGTACATACTGGGGTTTTGTGGCACATGGCTGTCAATCCAGATTCTGCTAATAAGAAATCAGAATACATTAATGGTAAAGAATGTAACTTACTTGATAACTAATGACTTACTCTGAATATATACATATTTTATTCTGTTTATAATCTTATCAAAAACTCCGCTTCTAAAGATCCCTTTTTATTTCTTGCCAACTTACAGTATCTCAGTGACATCATTTGGTGTCCCTTTTTTGGCATAGGGCCTATTTGCTGGTGACTGCAGCAATGGCCTTAAAGGGGTCATATGATGCTGCTAAAAAGAACATTATTTTGTGTATTTGGTGTAATGAAATGTGTTTATGCGGTTTAAAGTTAAATGCTTAGCTTAGACCATGTTAAAAATGTCTGTGTAGATAGACCTCCATTTCCTGAGAAATAACTTCACTTTTCTGAGCCATTTTGCAATCACTTTTAACCAACTGCTCAAGTTCACACGTGTCCCTCCAAGTTTGAAAACCAATGACATTTATACGTTAAGTGAGAGAAATAGTAAGTGTCCAAATACTTTATGGGCCCACTGCATACAATATACTCTTCAAAAGTTTGGGGTCAGCGAGATTTTTGTTTTTTAATGACAAAAATCAATCATTTATTTGATCCAAAAATACAGTAAAAACAGTAATATATGAAATATCTCCTCTATTATGTATATAAATGTATGAAAATATATTAAATACTATCACAATTTATAATGACTCTTCTAAAATATATTTTAAGATGTAATTTATTCCTGTGATGCAAAGCTGAATTTTCAGCATCATTACTCCAGTCTTCAGTGTCACATGATCCTTCAGAAATCATTCTGATATACTGATTTGCTTCTGAAGAAACATTTTATTATGGAATTACCAATATGGAAAACAACTGTGCTGCTTAAACCATGATGCATTTTTTTCAGGATTCTTTAATGAATAAAAGTTTCAAAAGAACAGCATTTTTTTTCTGTACTAGAAATCTTTTGTTACGTTCTAACATTACATGTCTTTACGCTTTACTGTTACGTTTGATCAATTTAATGCATCCTTGATGAATAAAAGTATTCATTTCTTTCAAAAAAATAAAATAAAAAAATTTGAACAGTTTACATATGTTAACGTTAATTTGAAATCAAATTAAAGCATGAATGAATGTAGTAGTACTCCAGTACCCCAATTAAACTAGACTGAATATGACTTATTTATGGAATGTATTTCACGTTATTGTACATATTGCCTTGCTTTATTATATCATTATATCTTGTCTAATTTGTCAGTATTAAAATCAGTGGATTTCAGTAGCTTCCACTTATTTTAAGGTCACAAATAATACAAATATGGAATTTGAAGCATCTTATGTTCAAAAGGCACACTTACTTACTGTACATAAACCACAGAACTCAGACTCTAGCAGTAATACTGTGGTAGGCAAAGTTACACATTCATAACCTATTTGTCAGGCAAGTCTACAGAGTAAAGAGAATAGTTTCAATTCTATCAGGGTTCCCTGAAATGTTCCTGCAATTCTTGTTTATAATGTCCAGCTTTCTGCATCATTGCAGCAGCTGACACTCGTAACCATGGACACAACCTACAATTTTACTGAATCCATCACAACTATTGATCTGTAGGGACTCAAGACGCAAGAGAGATCTGCAGTGATGATAAAACCACAGCCTGGCTCACATGGCATGATTTGCACAAAGAATTGGCTGAACAAATTTTATTTTTCCACTATTCAAATCTTGTGGCTCCTGCAACCTTAACACTTGAAAATTCTGTACCTGAAAAAGTCAAGTAGATTGATAAAATCATAACGCAATGGGCATTTTAATAACAAACATAAATTTTACTAATTGCCAAGATTCCTATTTTATCAGGTAGAAATTGTGAGTAAAATTATTTAAAAATTCTTATCTCTATGTAAAGCCTGATATGAAAGTCAGTAAGTATCAAGTTCAAGTTTCAAATGTAGTTTATTTATATAGCACCATTAAAACAGCGACAGCTGACCAGTGTGCTTTACAGCATCAACTAAAAGAAACAAAAGAATAAAAAGGTAAAAAGATAAAATCACAGACGAATCATCAACACACTGTTTTCTTAAGTGGACACAGTGCAAGTACTACAAAGAAAGCTGAATAAATTACTACTAATAATAATAAGATGATTTGATGCTTCTGCCAAACATTTCTGATTACCCTTTCTGCATGGATTCTTAGTAGTGCTAGACGATCTGTCAAATACTAAATAGTGCTTGTGGTGATGCGGCCACGACGCGAAGGGGATTTTTAAAAACGATTTTTACGTGATTTTTCTCAAATATTAGGCCTATGTCTGGATAATCAAGTAAAGCTAAGTTGCTTCAGTCCAGTAAATTGTTTTTGTGGAAAAATGGGGAGTCAAAAAGGCTGAGAACCACTGTAAAACGGGTTTTCTTTCTTGTGATTACTTTCTACTACACTACAGAAAAAAACACTGCTGTTGAGGGCGTGTTGCCCCCTTGTGTCGGAATAATGTCACCAAACTGGTGAAAAGTTGTGTTATTCTGCCATCTACCGGTAGAAAACCAAACAGCTCATTTCCCGAACACAACCGTGAAAGTATAAGTGCACTGCCAGCTGCAAAGAAACACAAGGTAATGCAAAACATACACAAACCATGGTTTGACGACTCACATGAAGTTCAAGTAATGCTAGATGAACAACATTAAACAATGAATTTGATGATATTCATACATTTAGCGTCAAGTTTCTCTCGAAATAAGATGCTTTCTTGTAAACGTGGCGTCTTTGTAAATTATATGGCACTTTATTGTAGGCCTAGTGAGATGATTTCAAATAGCGGACAGGGAGAAAAAGGAAATATTTTAGCAGTACATGCTTCTGATTTCCACAAACTTGGAATGCATTATTTCCTGATGCAGATAAAGCCTAGGTCGGCTAACGTTGAGTTATCTGCACTGTCTGTTGGGGAAATAAAAATCGATACACCATCATCGAGGAAGAGGAATGTAATCCCGCCTTGAGCATCTGCTTGTCAGATGTGTCCATAGACCCCTTCATAGCGTGAAATAGAAAATCCCGGCTGTTCGCCGCGGCCTGCTTTATTTACCGCCGAGGCGGACAGTGACAGAGCGGCGCTCGGCTGCAGTGCCTCGTCTCGCCGCCAGATGGCGCTTGGGAGTAACTGGCCTTTTAGTCAAATGTAGCGTTTTTTGTTACTAACGAATGTTTAAAGTGTATTAAAGATGGCTTTGTTGAAGAGGAGTGAACGGAGTATAAAAAGTGCGGGGAATTTGAAGCGGTTTTTAGCATTTTTTTAAGCACCTATATGTGATATTTAACATAACATTTTTTCTAAATCATTTGCAATTATTGCATATACTGTTTTTTATGAACTTAAAATGTTTTGGAAATTGTGTACAATATTTCTAAACATTTGTCACTGCATGATTTTTAAATTAACTAGTGAAAGCAAAACGATTATTCAAATGGTTGCAAAATCTAAAATATACACTTGTGGATATGTAATAAAATACTGATGCTCGTTAAGTCATATGTTTTTCAAAAACACATTTGAAATATAAATAATTTAAAAATACTTTAATAATTTTTTTCTATTCATAAATTAAATGACAGTTTTGTGTAAATAGATTGCTGATTTTTTTGGACCTTAAGGTTAACAACAACCAAAAAAAAAAAAAAAAAAAATTGTGTTTTTTATGAACTTAAAATGTTTTGGAAATTGTGTACAATATTTCTAAACATTTGTCACTGCATGATTTTTAAATTAACTAGTGAAAGCAAAACGATTATTCAAATGGTTGCAAAATCTAAAATATACACTTGTGCATATGTAATAAAATACTGATGCTCATTAAGTCATATGTTTTTCAAAAACACATTTGAAATATAAATAATTTAAAAATACTTTTATAATTTTTTTCTATTCATAAATTAAATGACATTTTTGTGTAAATAGATTGCTGATTTTTTTGGACCTTAAGGTTAACAACAACCAAAAAAAAAAAAAAAAAAATTGTATTTTAACTGTCTGGAAATAATTTTTTTTGTAGGAAGTCTCATTAACAGGAATATTTCCAAATTTTTTGTAATATTCTTAATGTTGTCAAATTATATATTATATAAATCTTCAAGTTTGTGGTTTTCACGGTTCTAAATAAGTCATTAAGCTGAAAAGGAAAAATCACACATTTTGACCTTTTTATGAAAAGGCTTAGACTAAATGGAGTAAGCCTAAGAAAATGCCTTTATTCATGATTTAAAAAACAAAACAACATTTTCCTAGGCACAAGGATAGCATTTTGGTACTTAATGGTTACACTTCTTGATTTTTAGAGTTGTTAAATTAAATATTCACTGAAATTAGTAAACGATTTTCAAAAATATGCAGATCCAAAATGGACACACAGATTGCATTTTTAGCGTTTTAAAGTAGGTTTTCCCTTATCATCCAAGACATCCTTATTTGTCATAAAACCCTGTAGATTAGAACCTAAAATATTGATTTTTAATTCTAAAGGTCATCGAAATTTGCAGAATACTAGTAAAGTGTAAATTTCGCTAAATCTTTCTTGCCTTGAATTTATGACATAAATATACAATTTAATGCATATAGAACAAGTATGCCTTTGTATTGCATTCTTGTGTATTTACTTGTGAATTAATTTAAAAGGAATTAGGTGTATTTTTTTGGTAATATATATAAAATCATACCTTATTCTTTAATGCTCTCATATTTTTTCAACAAGATGTGTTATTGTACCTGTAGAAAAGATGAAAGGAAATATGTGCCGTTGTCTGTGTGCACAGCAGAGGGCGCCCTAACTGGGATCGCCCTAAATGTCACCTCCTATGAAGATAGCGGCCGTTCCCAGACACTGTAACAGATACGTGACCTGAGAGACCTGCGTGTGAAGGGCCTGATAAGTGCGGCACAGAGGGAAGCAGCGTTCTTCTGTTCCGCCGAGCCTTTCATCTCAATTTAAACCATCCTCTTCAGAACGTTCCACTCCTTTCTCTTCTCCATCTCGTCCTCTTGACAATGTCTTCTTTTCTTATGCTTTATTTCTGCCCCCTCACCTCTCGCTCTTCCTCCCGTTCTCCCGCTGTGAGCCGAGGTGTAATATATCCGTAGCCCATGTGTGCTGAAGTCTTTAACATTCTTTCTCGTGCAGAAAGCCAAAGCTGGCACTGTACTGCGCGAACACATCAAACACCGCTTCTTTATCTATGGCTTTCTTGCTGCGATTCAGGGGTCAGAGGTCAGCGTTCCACTTCCTTGCTCCGTCTTCCATCTCGAATGCCTGCTTTTGTGTTTGTATTCTTGCATATTTTTCATCTGTAATCTTCTATAGGTTTAAACAGCATGTTGTACTTATTTCAGATGCAGCGGCAGAATCGATCAACTGTTTTGACACTGTGTCGATGTGCTTTGCAGCGACAGGACGTTGAATCACGCAGAGTATCAGAGGTTAGATCCCTCCGTAGTCCTTTAGATCCGTTTATGATTCGATAGTTGAGTTCAGAGGAACATGTAGACAGTGAAAATCCCTCATGACAGCTTCTGACGGAGATCAAAATGCCCACCGCTGCTAATGTGTCTTTTGAGTTTGTATTTTACAGTTCTTGTTGATCTAGTTCGGTTTTACAATTATCAGTGACTGCAACCGGCTCGGCTTTGGCGATGATAGAAAAAAAAACACAAAGAGGAAATAATAAATCAATGTAATAATAATAAAAAATAAAATAATCAAATAAATTGATTTAGCCAAAAAAAAAAAAAATCTCTTTTAGTCAGTATTTTCTTTCTCAGTTTTAGTGGAAAACATCTTTAAAACATGGTAAATATACTTTACTTTTTGAAAGATTTATGATTGGTTTTAAGAGAACATATCTTGAATTAAGGTTTTATTTTACTGTTACAATTTTTTTAAATTGCCGTGTAAATAAAATATACTGAGTAGTTGTGTTTTTAGGATATTTAGATAGTTGTACTGGAAAATAATAATAATAAAAACCCTAAAGAAATTATTCACATTATCAAAATGTTTGGCATACATACATTTACTTAAAGCAGATTTTCTTAAGATTTAAGGTTTCCAGAGAATATAGCTTATTTTATTATATATATTTTAGAGTCACAGAAATTCTATACAAATATCCTAAATATCTTTTTGAGATAATTATATATATGCTTTCTGGAAAACAATAGAAAAATACTGATTATTCACTATTCGCAAATGTACTTGAAGCAGAATTTAATCTGTGACAAGTCTAAAAATAACAGTATTTTTTTTTCTTCATTGTATTGGAATATTGCCGATTTAGATTCAGAAAATTGATTTAGTTTATTTGAAGTAATGTTGGAAACCAATTGCACATATTTCCTTAGTCTTCATATCTTAAAACGGATTGTTAAAGCCATGTTGAGAATAATAGTATTTAGGTATTTGTCTGCAGCACAAAATAACAATGTTAAATAATTTGAATTAATGCAGTAATCTTACCATGAAATATTAAGTAACATTGAACTGAAATGGGCGTTAAACCATCTGGATATTTATTACTTAATTTACTCAGAGTTAGCTTTTGTACTTGCATAACTTCAATTATGTCTTTATGTTTGCTTTGCTAAAATAAAGCAGTCCAAACATTCTTAATTAAACTGAACTTGCAGGAATTTACAGTCGATATAAAAACAGTTCTTATGAATAGTGTTATTAGCAGTTTTTGGGATGCGTTCATGGTCAGGTCAGGCCAAGCGTTCCCCGAAACACACGTCGAAGTCAGAGGTCAGTCAAAATGAGGGCGCAGAAGAGAAAAAGGAGGGACAGAGGATGATGAAATGGTGAAAGGAAGAGCTTAGATAGTGACCTCTGGCCCCACGTCTTCCTTTTCTCTTTCACTCTCTTATTCGCTCCCTATGTTTCTTTTCTCATTCTTCTCACTGACTCTTTGTGTCCAGCGTTGATCGGACCACAGGCCGTGATCTCTGTGACCTTTCTAGGGGTCAGCTGGCGGCCATGACGACAGAGGGGTCAGTCTGCGGCCTCGGTTCATCTCTCGGTCAACTTCAGGTCATATTTTGGTCAACTTCAGTGGTGTGTTCTGTTCAAGACCCTGAAGCCACGAAGATGGTTTCATCAAAGAGCAGGTCTTGTGTTTCAGCTCGTGAGATTATACTAGTTGTCTCATGCTTCTGATTGGATTTGAGATTGTTTTTGTGGTTTTGTGTTTTTGCTGACTTGCCAATTCAAATTTATGCCTAAAGTGCTGCATGAAAAAGCTGTTTTTATGAAGAAAAAAGCCATTGTTTCTATTAGAAGTATTCAGATTGCTTGCAAGTAGCTAAACTAAAATGAACCCCTCGTTACGATCAACATGGAGGTCGTCTACCGGTCAATTCCAGGGCGTTTCCGCTATTCTAATACATATCTGCCCTCGTCATGACCTGAAAGCTGGGGTCATTTAGCAGTCATCGGAGTGTGTTCAGAAAAGCTCCAGATGATTCAGCGAGGTTTTAAACACTGGGAGTTTGGTCTGTCATCATAGGTCACTCGGTAGTCAGCATCATGCGTTGGGTAACGTTCATAAGGTGTAATGGCTTGACCCA